TTTCTTTAGCTTTATTGTCAGTTCCAAATAATGAAATTCCCCTCCAGCATATTAGCAGCAAAATTAAGTTTTTTTCTTTTTTCCAGTCAATGTTGTATAACATGACTTCACAAATTGTATATGGCAGCCACAAGACACTTTTCTTTTCCTCTTTTTTGTTCCTTAACGGCGTCTTACTTCATTGTATATGGCAGCCACAAGACACTTTTCTTTTCCTCTTTTTTGTTCCTTAACGGCGTCTTACTTCTAAAGGTGGAGCTGATCGTTGGTTTAATCAATGAAAGGAATTAGCACATATCTGGGAGCAGCTCCTATCGTCAAGTGTCTGGAAAAGTACCATCCAAATGTCATAATTACTTCTCGAGTCGCAGATGCTGCCCTATTTATGGCTCCAATGGTAGGGAGTGGTTTCTGATGGTGTTGGCACAATCTTTTAGCGATTCGTACTGATGTTTCTTTTTTCAATATAACTTTTGTTACCGTTAGAAGTAATATCGTTTTTAAGAAGAATAGCTAGCACTGAAGTTGCTTAGTGCCTCCTTTGGGGGTGGTAGAACCTTATGGATTTTATGGGTTTCGGCCTCGTTTTTGGGCTTCAACCAAGGAGTTACAGAAAATATCTCCAATTGATTGCTATATAGGAAATGTTGTAAGAACTGGTTAAACAACATCTAAGATTATTTGTTGTTGGGACAAAGATAAAGAATATTGGAGAGATGGATTGTATTCATTGTTTTAGAGAAAATAGTGAAGTTAGTAATAATCAAATTGGTAATCTGGCTTTATAATCTGGCTTTATACTTCATGCTATCATGAATTAAGATATATCGTAGGAAAAATTTGAACTCCTTTAGGATGTTTTGAAATATTTCTCAGACAATGACTCAATGACAATGTGACATGTATTCAGGTATATGAACTTGGTTGGAACTGGGATGATTTTCCACGGTTATCACAGGGAACACTGGCTGGTCATCTTCTGGAATGTGGTTGTCAACTTACAGGGGGATACTTTATGCATCCAGGTCCACTACTTCCTACCCACCCAAAGCCCAATTCTTTGTCGATCGAGCATGGAATTCATAGCTGTAGTTTGGCTAAATGATTCGAGCGATCTTTTTAATGTTATCTTCTGCAGGAGACAAGCATAGGAGTATGCCTTTCCAACAGCTTCTGGATATATCACTGCCTTATGCTGAAATTGATTGTGATGGAAAAGTCTATGTAGCCAAGGCGGAAGAGACCGGAGGCCTTTTGAATTTCAGTACGTGTGCCGAGCAACTTCTGTATGAGGTTGGCGATCCCTCGGCTTATATCACCCCTGATTTGGTATGCTAGATGTTTCATAGGATTACTTTTGATGGATTGAATACAAAGGTCAAATACAAATGTGGACATAGCTGGTTGTGAATGCAGGTGGTTGACTTAAGCAATGTTTCGTTTTGCTCGATCTCCAGCTCCAAGGTTTTTTGTTCCGGAGCAAAACCCTCTATTCAAGTAGTGCCCGAGAAACTCTTGCAGTTGGCTCCAAAGGTTTTTATTTTTTTCTTGAATATCTAACATTTTAACGGATGGGTAAACGAGCGACAATCACCTGAAAGATCAAGAGATTACCGGGGATTGATTTAGTAAACTAAGGGATCAATAGGAAACCTACAGGGTTTTGTTTTTCCCCTGCCCCCCACTCGAAAAAAGTATATAAGAATATACACAAAGATTAGTCTATTAGAGTAAACATTCCGACCTCGAAAAATAACTTCTCAGGTAGTTCCAAATGTTGTTGATGGACTACCTGGAAAATATTTTTGGATCATAAGTTTTTTTAACAGAAATCTTTCGAATATATGCTTGTCCATTAATATTTACGCATGAAGGAGCTGGCTCGATATTCTCCTGGAGAAATTTCTTGTTTATACTTTCTCTCGTCGCAAGCTAACTGTGAAAATTACATATCAGGACTGTGGATGGAAAGGATGGGGGGAGATATCCTATGGGGGACGGGAATGCGTTCTTCGCGCTAAAGCTGCCGAATATCTGGTAATTCAAATGGATAGCTTTCCCATTGTATCACAATAATTTTCTGTCTTTGACATTTTTTATCATTTTGATTCATATTCACTTCTTGAATTGACTGTTGGTGCTATGTTTAAGTAAATTAAGACTACAATATAACGAGTTTGTTCCCCTTTTTCTCTCGTTTTTCCTTTTGTAGGTTCGTTCGTGGATGGAAGAAGTATTGTATGGTGTTAATCAGCATATAGTTTCTTATATAATTGGACTTGACAGCCTTAAAGCATCCATCAATAGTAGTAGTGTCGAAGATATTCGGTTACGCATGGATGGACTATTCGAGACGAAAGAGCACGCTCTCCTGTTTGTTAGAGAATTTACAGCTTTATACACAAATGGGCCAGCTGGTGGCGGCGGCATCAGGTTAACTGTGACAGTCTGAAATTTGTTTACATTAGTTATTTCCTTCATATTCATGATTGTTTTTACTAAAAATCCTTCTTTCATAGAAGTTTATTGAAGTTTGAGCTTTTTAGTTAAGCTTTAAGGAAAATGAAACGATCGAGAACTTGATCAAGCTCGTTTCGAAAGTACCTTCTGGTAGATTAGGATGATTACACAAACCAAATGCGTAATATGCTCAGAAACCATGTTTATTTCCGTAACCATGTTTATTTCCGTAGTAGTTACAAACCTCGAAACCATTTATATTATCCAAACTTGTTGAAATATATGGACAAAACTTGACTTTGGATGGACTTGTTCCTTGATGTACATGCTTGTTGATCTGTTACTAGGAAGCATGTAAGTTTCAAAAATTTGTGGGTTTGAGATATTATTCATGTGAGATCCCACATCGGCTTAAATTATGAGGCTGACGGCAATACGTAATGGGCTAAAGCGGACAATATTTCCTAGTGGTGGACTTAGGCTATTACAAATAGTATCAGAGCCAAGCATCAGGTGGTGTGCTAACGAGGACGGTGGGCTCTAAGGGGGTGGATTGTGAGATCCCACATCGGTTGGAGAGGAAGGAAAAATTCCTTATAAGGGTGTGGAAACCTCTCCTTAGTAGACGCGTTTTAATACCGTAAGGCTGATGGCGATGCGTAACGGGCTAAAGCAAACAATATCTACTAGCGGTAAACTTAGGCTATTACAAATAGTATCAAAGTCTGGCACTAGGCGGTGTGCTAACGAGGACACTGGGCCCCCAGGAGGGTGGACTATGAGATCCCACATTAGTTGGAGATGAACGAAACATTTCTTATAAGGGTGTGGAAACCTCTCCCTGATAGACGCATTTTAAAACCGTGAGGCGGACGGTGATACGTAAAGAGCTAAAGTAGACAATATCTATTGGCGGTAGACTTAGGCTGTTACAATTCTTATGGTCCATCTTTGTGTTAAAACTGCATTTTACGTGTCGTTGACATAATTTTTGTCCTGTTTTGAATTGCAGCACTGGGTACAAGAAAGAAATTGTGCTCGAAAAACAATTGGTACCTTTCTCTTTCCCTCTCATTCTCAAACCGAATATCTGGATTAACAGTATTTCACTTCTATCGTCGTGGTTTATTCGCTATCTGTTGATGATCTTGAGCTTTGATTCTTGAATGTTTCCATAGCCTCACCATCATTTAGTTCTCCTCATTACCTTCATTATTCAGTCTCTTTCCATATGATTGTTTTTAAATTAGGTCGGGCGCGAACACGTTTTCTGGCGAATGGGAGTGAAGTGCACTAAAGCAGTAGAATTAGACAGTCGACCAACGGATCTTCGTGAGGATCCAGCGAAGGCACGAACATCGCCCCGAGTAACGTTGCCATGTTCAATATTCGCTTATGCAGACAACCCTTGTGCAAGCTCCTCCACACCAGAAACTGGCCATTCTCCTATTCCATCTGGCCAGAAGGTTGCTCTTTACAATGTAGCCCATAGTAGAGCTGGAGACAAAGGGAATGACATGAACTTCTCAGTCGTTCCTCATTATCCATCTGATATCGAGCGGTTGAAGATGATCATCACACCCGAATGGGTGAAGAGAGTTCTTTCATCGCTGCAAAATTCATCGACATTTCATGATTTGGATGCAGATAAGAAGAGAGACGAGTGGGTCAATGAACACGTGAAGGTCGAAATATACGAAGTTAAAGGTATCCATTCTTTGAATGTTGTTGTTCGTAACATTCTAGATGGCGGTGTAAACTGCTCTCGAAGAATCGATCGCCATGGAAAGACCATATCGGATCTCGTCTTGAACCAGCAAGTTGTTTTGCCGCCATAGTTTGGTGGTTCTAACAGAAGAGAGCTAGAATTTCTGAAGCAGAAGGTGCTTATAGACAATAAATTTACTTGTGCTTCTAATGTTTGAATCTTCCAAAAGTTTGATTAATCATTCCATGTATTCTCATATTTCTCCAACAATGTTATATACGTATAACGAAAACGAAGCATTGCTATCGTGCCATCGTTGATATAGAGANTGATGTTTCTTTTTTCAATATAACTTTTGTTACCGTTAGAAGTAATATCGTTTTTAAGAAGAATAGCAAGCACTGAAGTTGCTTAGTGCCTCCTTTGGGGGTGGTAGAACCTTATGGATTTTATGGGTTTCGGCCTCGTTTTTGGGCTTCAACCAAGGAGTTACAGAAAATATCTCCAATTGATTGCTATATAGGAAATGTTGTAAGAACTGGTTAAACAACATCTAAGATTATTTGTTGTTGGGACAAAGATAAAGAATAGAAATGTTGTAAGAACTGGTTAAACAACATCTAAGATTATTTGTTGTTGGGACAAAGATAAAGAATATTGGAGAGATGGATTGTATTCATTGTTTTAGAGAAAATAGTGAAGTTAGTAATAATCAAATTGGTAATCTGGCTTTATAATCTGGCTTTATACTTCATGCTATCATGAATTAAGATATATCGTAGGAAAAATTTGAACTCCTTTAGGATGTTTTGAAATATTTCTCAGACAATGACTCAATGACAATGTGACATGTATTCAGGTATATGAACTTGGTTGGAACTGGGATGATTTTCCACGGTTATCACAGGGAACACTGGCTGGTCATCTTCTGGAATGTGGTTGTCAACTTACAGGGGGATACTTTATGCATCCAGGTCCACTACTTCCTACCCACCCAAAGCCCAATTCTTTAACTTACAGGGGGATACTTTATGCATCCAGGTCCACTACTTCCTACCCACCCAAAGCCCAATTCTTTGTCGATCGAGCATGGAATTCATAGCTGTAGTTTGGCTAAATGATTCGAGCGATCTTTTTAATGTTATCTTCTGCAGGAGACAAGCATAGGAGTATGCCTTTCCAACAGCTTCTGGATATATCACTGCCTGTTATCTTCTGCAGGAGACAAGCATAGGAGTATGCCTTTCCAACAGCTTCTGGATATATCACTGCCTTATGCTGAAATTGATTGTGATGGAAAAGTCTATGTAGCCAAGGCGGAAGAGACCGGAGGCCTTTTGAATTTCAGTACGTGTGCCGAGCAACTTCTGTATGAGGTTGGCGATCCCTCGGCTTATATCACCCCTGATTTGGTATGCGTGTGCCGAGCAACTTCTGTATGAGGTTGGCGATCCCTCGGCTTATATCACCCCTGATTTGGTATGCTAGATGTTTCATAGGATTACTTTTGATGGATTGAATACAAAGGTCAAATACAAATGTGGACATAGCTGGTTGTGAATGCAGGTGGTTGACTTAAGCAATGTTTCGTTTTGCTCGATCTCCAGCTCCAANAGGCTGCAACTTACCTAAGCCATAATTGTTGGTAATCACATACGGTGGTGAATTCGTTCCCGGGCTTCGTACATACCGCCCATCATAGAAACTAGTCATTCCCGAAGTTGGCAAGTTTCCCATCACACACAACATCTAGTCTAGTTTCCCAGACCGCCCCACCTCTTAATTATAATATATTAAAAAATTATTTATGNCATAGCTGGTTGTGAATGCAGGTGGTTGACTTAAGCAATGTTTCGTTTTGCTCGATCTCCAGCTCCAAGGTTTTTTGTTCCGGAGCAAAACCCTCTATTCAAGTAGTGCCCGAGAAACTCTTGCAGTTGGCTCCAAAGGTTTTTATTTTTTTCTTGAATATCTAACATTTTAACGGATGGGTAAACGAGCGACAATCACCTGAAAGATCAAGAGATTACCGGGGATTGATTTAGTAAACTAAGGGATCAATAGGAAACCTACAGGGTTTTGTTTTTCCCCTGCCCCCCACTCGAAAAAAGTATATAAGAATATACACAAAGATTAGTCTATTAGAGTAAACATTCCGACCTCGAAAAATAACTTCTCAGGTAAAGAATATACACAAAGATTAGTCTATTAGAGTAAACATTCCGACCTCGAAAAATAACTTCTCAGGTAGTTCCAAATGTTGTTGATGGACTACCTGGAAAATATTTTTGGATCATAAGTTTTTTTAACAGAAATCTTTCGAATATATGCTTGTCCATTAATATTTACGCATGAAGGAGCTGGCTCGATATTCTCCTGAAATCTTTCGAATATATGCTTGTCCATTAATATTTACGCATGAAGGAGCTGGCTCGATATTCTCCTGGAGAAATTTCTTGTTTATACTTTCTCTCGTCGCAAGCTAACTGTGAAAATTACATATCAGGACTGTGGATGGAAAGGATGGGGGGAGATATCCTATGGGGGACGGGAATGCGTTCTTCGCGCTAAAGCTGCCGAATATCTGGTAATTCAAATGGATAGCTTTCCCATTGTATCACAATAATTTTCTGTCTTTGACATTTTTTATCATTTTGATTCATATTCACTTCTTGAATTGACTGTTGGTGCTATGTTTAAGTAAATTAAGACTACAATATAACGAGTTTGTTCCCCTTTTTCTCTCGTTTTTCCTTTTGTAGGTTCGTTCGTGGATGGAAGAAGTATTGTATGGTGTTAATCAGCATATAGTTTCTTATATAATTGGACTTGACAGCCTTAAAGCATCCATCAATAGTAGTAGTGTCGAAGATATTCGGTTACGCATGGATGGACTATTCGAGACGAAAGAGCACGCTCTCCTGTTTGTTAGAGAATTTACAGCTTTATACACAAATGGGCCAGCTGGTGGCGGCGGCATCAGGTTAACTGTGACAGTCTGAAATTTGTTTACATTAGTTATTTCCTTCATATTCATGATTGTTTTTACTAAAAATCCTTCTTTCATAGAAGTTTATTGAAGTTTGAGCTTTTTAGTTAAGCTTTAAGGAAAATGAAACGATCGAGAACTTGATCAAGCTCGTTTCGAAAGTACCTTCTGGTAGATTAGGATGATTACACAAACCAAATGCGTAATATGCTCAGAAACCATGTTTATTTCCGTAGTAGTTACAAACCTCGAAACCATTTATATTATCCAAACTTGTTGAAATATATGGACAAAACTTGACTTTGGATGGACTTGTTCCTTGATGTACATGCTTGTTGATCTGTTACTAGGAAGCATGTAAGTTTCAAAAATTTGTGGGTTTGAGATATTATTCATGTGAGATCCCACATCGGCTTAAATTATGAGGCTGACGGCAATACGTAATGGGATAAAGCGGACAATATTTCCTAGTGGTGGACTTAGGCTATTACAAATAGTATCAGAGCCAAGCATCAGGTGGTGTGCCAACGAGGACGGTGGGCTCTAAGGGGGTGGATTGTGAGATCCCACATCGGTTGGAGAGGAAGGAAAAATTCCTTATAAGGGTGTGGAAACCTCTCCTTAGTAGACGCGTTTTAATACCGTAAGGCTGATGGCGATGCGTAACGGGCTAAAGCAGACAATATCTACTAGCGGTAAACTTAGGCTATTACAAATAGTATCAAAGTCTGGCACTAGGCGGTGTGCTAACGAGGACACTGGGCCCCAGGAGGGTGGACTATGAGATCCCACATTAGTTGGAGATGAACGAAACATTTCTTATAAGGGTGTGGAAACCTCTCCCTGATAGACGCATTTTAAAACCGTGAGGCGGACGGTGATACGTAAAGAGCTAAAGTAGACAATATCTATTGGCGGTAGACTTAGGCTGTTACAATTCTTATGGTCCATCTTTGTGTTAAAACTGCATTTTACGTGTCGTTGACGTAATTTTTGTCCTGTTTTGAATTGCAGCACTGGGTACAAGAAAGAAATTGTGCTCGAAAAACAATTGGTACCTTTCTCTTTCCCTCTCATTCTCAAACCGAATATCTGGATTAACAGTATTTCACTTTTATCGTCGTGGTTTATTCGCTATCTGTTGATGATCTTGAGCTTTGATTCTTGAATGTTTCCATAGCCTCACCATCATTTAGTTCTCCTCATTACCTTCATTATTCAGTCTCTTTCCATATGATTGTTTNCTGGTAGATTAGGATGATTACACAAACCAAATGCGTAATATGCTCAGAAACCATGTTTATTTCCGTAACCATGTTTATTTCCGTAGTAGTTACAAACCTCGAAACCATTTATATTATCCAAACTTGTTGAAATATATGGACAAAACTTGACTTTGGATGGACTTGTTCCTTGATGTACATGCTTGTTGATCTGTTGAAATATATGGACAAAACTTGACTTTGGATGGACTTGTTCCTTGATGTACATGCTTGTTGATCTGTTACTAGGAAGCATGTAAGTTTCAAAAATTTGTGGGTTTGAGATATTATTCATGTGAGATCCCACATCGGCTTAAATTATGAGGCTGACGGCAATACGTAATGGGCNGAACACGTGAAGGTCGAAATATACGAAGTTAAAGGTATCCATTCTTTGAATGTTGTTGTTCGTAACATTCTAGATGGCGGTGTAAACTGCTCTCGAAGAATCGATCGCCATGGAAAGACCATATCGGATCTCGTCTTGAACCAGCAAGTTGTTTTGCCGCCATAGTTTGGTGGTTCTAACAGAAGAGAGCTAGAATTTCTGAAGCAGAAGGTGCTTATAGACAATAAATTTACTTGTGCTTCTAATGTTTGAATCTTCCAAAAGTTTGATTAATCATTCCATGTATTCTCATATTTCTCCAACAATGTTATATACGTATAACGAAAACGAAGCATTGCTATCGTGCCATCGTTGATATAGAGAAACAAAATTGTCGATGTCGTTGAACAAGTCATCGACCCCAGTAATCCTAAATAACACATTGCCCACTTTGTTGATGCTCGTGAGAACATTAAAACTCGAGGAGATATGTTAGTCAAGTAGTTCATTTGAATGCTAAAAGGGGATACGTTCGATGAGAACATCGATATATAATTTGAGATGATCACTAGTTGGGAATAATTTGAGAGATAGTTCATGGATTGTTTCTATTGTGCGAGTCGAATAGTTAGTACGATGGAACGCAAAAAAACGAGAGCTTTGAGTATTATCTGTAAAGATTCAACTTCTCGGAGTGCAAATGACCAACCAACTTCGGATCAAATCCTAAGATTCAATCACTTGTTATCTCCTTGCGAGCCTAACTCATTTGGTTCTAATAAAAGGTTTAAATAAAAGGATTTCAAGAAAAGTAAAAGTTGATTAACGATGAGAATGGTCAGAGACAATCGTGACTCGCCATGAAAGGCAAATTATACTCATAAAGAACCTTGTATGCATCGAGATTGCAAGAGAAGTAAAGTTCGAAAGAAGAACGACATAAATACCATGAGGAAGCTAAATCTTATCGTGAAATAAATAAAAAAAATATCGTTAATTCTCGACTAGTAGCAACTCTGTTGATATTATTCTCAAAGAACTTTCGAGATGATAGTCGAGAATATTTCATGTCATTGCTATCAACACAATCAAAACTTCACAAAAACAATAAAGCACTGAGTTGAGAAGCTTACGGATGATATGAATACGATAAAACTGATATAATTTAAAAGTAAAACTAAATTTCCATTATAATTTTAAAAAAATTAATTTATTGAAATGGGTGAGTATTGTTTTATTTTTAATTATTATTTCTTTTTGAAATTTAATAGATGAATTAGCGAAGGGTAGAAAATGCAATATTTAAGTTAAATTTATGGTGGCGTGTAATTAAAGTTTAAAGATTAAATTTGATATAATAAAATTTATTTTTTCTCAAAAAATTAATTATTTGTTAATCTTTTAAAACCAGACAAAACTACGTCGTATGCATGACCCGGCAAACGCCGTTCATCTGTTCAATAATAACGAACATGGCGGCGAAGTCGGGTAATCGAAGGCCAATGGCTTTCATCTCTCTCCTTCCGCCCTCCATTTCCTTTGAAATCGTCAACCGATCCGCCCTTCTTTCATTCTATGTCAAGCAATTCTGTCCGGAATTGGAGCTGATCCAACCAATGAATCACAAATCTCTCCCACATTTGGATTCACACCACCAAATCCGACACTATTTCATGTATAAATTTGGTTTTTTTCTTCATCAATCACAGACCTCAATCCTCCCCCTCGTATCTGATCTTGTCTGGAAGATCGAGGCTTCGGAGGGCTTGAGGTTTCCATTGCACTACTTTTTCTTCGTTTCTGGTGTGATTTTTCTGTTTTCTTCTTCTTTTCCGGAAGTTCTTCCGTCTCGGATTGAGTCCATCTTGTAAAACACTCATTCCTTCATAAAATGGCTTTCACTGGAACATTGGATAAATGCAAGGCTTGTAATAAGACTGTTTATGTCGTCGATTTGTTGTCTCTTGAAGGCAATCCTTACCATAAGAATTGCTTCAGATGCAGCCACTGCAAAGGCACCCTTTCGGTTAGTCTCGGTTTTACATTTTCAAATTTTAACATCACCTTCTCGTGTTAGATCGTTCGATAATGGCAGATTTTACCCTAATTGTTTGATTATGATGACAGATGACCAGCCACTCGTGGATGGACGGCGTCCTGTATTGCAAGCCTCATTTCGATCAACTCTTTAAGGAATCTGGAAATTTCGCGAACTTTCAATGTAGTATAACCTTTATTTCCCTCTTTGTCTCTTCCTTTTTTCTTTTCATATGTTCCTGACATTCTCGTTTCATTGTTCAACAGCCAAGTCTGATAAGAAACCTGAACTGGTATGCTCCCATTGTGTTCTTTTTTCCTTGGATTTAAAACAAGTGACTGTCATAATCTCACTGACTTGTGAATTAGATATTAGATTGAATGTATGAGAATAATGTGGATCAAAGTTTGCTTAGCTTGCTGACCTGAAATAGAATGACGGGCCTAGGCATTCTGGTTTTGTTTCTAATTTTCTAAAGTTTTCAAGCGGTCAAGAGCAAATTTGATTGGACGTGCCATTAGGGCTTTCTAACGTTCTATACTAAACTTAAGCTATCACTCAATCAGCCATTAGCCACTTTTGTTTCTAACATTTACCCCGAAAAAAAAAAGAGTTTTGAAACTTCAGCCTTGTGATTTTCATGAAAATGCTGTAATATTTATGTTATATTACGACTTTCACAATCTTTGACAGACAAGGACCAACAGCAAACTCTCCGCCATGTTCTGTGGGACTCAAGATAGATGTGCTGCTTGCAGTAAAGTAGTTTATCCATTAGAAAAGGTCCGTAGTTCTTCCCCTTTTCTTCTTTACAACACATATTTTTCTCAAAATTGTTAAAGAAAAACTCTGCTGGGCTTAACAGATCAGTCTTGAGGGGGAATGCTACCACAAGAACTGCTTCAGATGTGCTCATGGTGGATGCAATTTGACACACTCTTCTTATGCTGCTCTTGATGGTGTCCTGTACTGCAAACACCATTTTGCTCAGCTCTTCATGGTCAAGGGCAACTATACCCATGTTCTTCAAGCTGCTGCAAACAAGAAAGCCACCATGACCCCGGCCGAACATGCCGAAAAAGATGGCAAGCCTCAGCCTGATTCCGAGGACGGCGCAGTTGAGCAATCTTAAAATGCTTCTTCTGCTCTTCCAGACTTTGAGAATTCATCTCTTATGAAAAAAAAAAAAAAGTATTCTTCTGTGGAAACATTTGTTTTTGTTCTTAATTCACATTCATTGGAATGGAAACATTTGTTTTTGTTATCATTCACATTTATTTCCAATTTATACTATGTTCTGCTGTACTTTCAAATATCACCTAATAAGTTCGAGAATTTTTGTTCTATGTTGAAGCTCGGTTCTTATGATTGAGGTTTGTGTTCCATCCTTGCAGAGGTAGAGAATCCATTGCTATGCTAATGGAAGTTTTGGGGAAGATAGAAGGTGGGCTTACTACTTAGATGCTTTCCACAGTTATCTGCTTTACACTTGGCTATCTAACGTTTACCGTTGGTATGATAATTGATACACGAGCAATTATCTAGAGCATTATGGCCATGTTTTTTTTCCCAAGTTGTGCATATTCCCAAACAAGATTCTTTGAACCAAATTTGTCCCATTAGCACTATTGGATATACACCATTTTGGCTTCATGGGCGATTGTGATTGCAGTCTTTATAAGTCCATATCATATTGATGTCAAAATAATATCTATTCGATACAATTTAATTCGGATCACTCAATTTCTTAATATGCCATTATTAAACTAAAAAAATCCTAGAAAAACATGTAGCCGTATGATTTGAAAATCTTATATACAGTTCATTTCCCTTATGTCATACACGTGCTACAATAGCTGAGACATAGGGTTGTCATCTCGGGAGGGCGAGCAAACTCCAAAAATCCGTCCTCAATTCGAATTGTAGGCTGCAACTTACCTAAGCCATAATTGTTGGTAATCACATACGGTGGTGAATTCGTTCCCGGGCTTCGTACATACCGCCCATCATAGAAACTAGTCATTCCCGAAGTTGGCAAGTTTCCCATCACACACAACATCTAGTCTAGTTTCCCAGACCGCCCCACCTCTTAATTATAATATATTAAAAAATTATTTATGCATATATTTTTATAAATCGAACTATATGGAATAAGAATATATTCACATTTTAAAAAAAATTAAATAATCTATTTGATATAACTTTAAAAATTAAAGTTAGAAATAAAATATTAAAAAATCTAAAGGAAAAAAAAATTGTAATTCTTATAATTTTTTAGTTGAGTTGTTTGAGTGATTTTTAGAATTTTTATTTTTAGTAAAATTAAAATGTTTAAATAATAAAAATATTAAACATAAATTTAAATAAAAATATTAAACATAAATTTAAATAAAAATAATAAATAAATAAATAGGTTTTTTTTTCAACATTGTTTATTTGTCGGTTGTATTTCACGCGCTTCAATAGCGCGTGATCAAGCGCCTTTTTAATTCGGAATATCTCACTCCTTCAACAGATCGACAATGAGGCCATCGACCAACGAAGGGCCATTTCGGTAAAATCGCGAGAAATATCAAAGAGCAGTTAGTGGCGTT